CATACCTGAAGTTGCATACTTGCTCATGCTGCTTCAATTAAAACTCTAATCCTTCAGTCATGGACTTGCTAAGTGGATTTGACTGTTTAAATTGGAGTGCAGTGCTAGCTTTTATCTATTTTAAGTTAATTGCACTAGAGTTTAGGAAAGATGTTTGTTAAAGCAGCTGAATTTTGGGGGTTTTTTTTGGTTTTTCTTTGTCAAGCAACTTAAATGTTAACATTCCGGTTTGATCCCTTGGTCTAATTTCTCTGGCCATTTAGATTAATTTCAGGAGACATGGATGAAGGGGATTCAGGCTTTATCAAATTTAAGCAGACTTCAGATGACGTTGTCTCACTTGCACCTTCAACAGCAGACACCATTTTTCTGGAAGGTATGGAATTTCTGTGCTTTTCAGGATTTTTATGTGACTTCTTACACAGTCTTAAACCAGCACGGAGATGGTTTTGTGAATGATGGTAATGAGGGATATGGTGGGAAGCAATTTAATAATAATTGAAACTGAATGTGCTTTTGGTCTAGATGCATATTCTGTATCCCTCCGAAGTGAAATAGAAACAGATGCTCACGAGTTTGAGGCAGAGTCTTGGAGCGTTGCAGTGGAACAGTCTTATGCAAAAAGGCAAAGGCCAGATGTTAAGAACAGGCAAGATGTCATTTATGGTAAGAGTATTTGTTATTATTGTGTCTTTTTCTATTTCATAATGCCACTGTTTTGAAACAAAGCAGAAATCCTTTTTATTGGCTCCAGTTTTGACTTGTGATTGAAAACTAGAGTGAAGGTTTTCAAGTCTGTTACCTGCCTCACTGTGCGTAAGTCCTGTTAATGATTTTAAGCAACACATAGTTTTCAGCATGCCTGTGTAAGCAGCTAACCCCAGCTATGCAATTAGGGAAGAGCTCACCTGCAACTGGGGGATGTCGTTAAATAAGTAGGGTCAGTCACTGTTTGGAGGGGAGATTGTGAGGGCAAATTTAGGAGCTTCACATCAGTAATGCAAAGATTGTGGCAAAGAAGGTGGTGCAAAAGGTGGTGGCTTTCAGAGCCTGCTCTGTTATGTCTCACTGGTCACTGCACAGCGTATAAATCATAGAATCATAGAATGGTTTTTGATTTGATGACTCTTGATTTGTTTATTTCTCCTTGCTCAGAACTAATGCAGACTGAAATGCACCATGTTAGGACACTGAAAATAATGCTGAAGGTATACTCCAAAGCCATGAGAGAGGAACTGCAGTTCCCAAATGCAGTCATCAACAAGCTCTTCCCCTGTGTGGATGAGCTGCTGGAGATGCATGGGCAATTTCTGCTCCAGTTAAAGGAGAGACGGAAGGAATCCTTGGAAGAAGGCAGTGACCGAAATTATCTAATCCAGAACATTGGAGACCTCTTGGTAAAACAGGTGTGGATTAAATTCTACCAACATTAAACTTCTAACAAGCTAACTGGTAGGCTAAAGTTATGGTATGTAAGAATGGATTTAATAATTTGTTTGACATTATCTTCCCAGTGTCATGTGTAAGCTTGATTCCCAGGAGCATGTCTGGTAACAAAGAGTATGAAATGATCATTTAATGCTCTTTGGGCATGTGCCTATGGATGCTGTGGGATATGCAGCTGGTTTTAACTCTGTTCCAAAAGTAACATGACATGTTCCATGGCTCTCCTGCATTTCATGCAAAGCTTCTTGGTTCTGACCTTTTAAAAATGCAGTAAAGATCCTTTGAACTCATTACAGCTTTAGGACCCATTCTGGTACGGAGCGGATGCAACTTCCTTCCTATATCAGGACCTTTTTTTGCCTTTCACCTTTTAGTCGTCAGTATTTTTAAGGGCAGAGGCCCAGAAATCCTTTTTAAAAGTCTCGTAATGACAAACCATCATATTGGGTTATCTTGTGGTATTCCAGGCTCTCAGATGTTACACTGCATAAATCTCCCATTTCTGGTACAGAAGAAATTGAAATACTGAATAAACACCTGAGAAATCAGTTACCATAAAACAATGTTAAACCTTGATTTTGCAGTGGAGGTAGATTTACTCTTAATGATTCATGTCTTTTATTCTTATCTTTCCAATTAGTTTTCAGGTGAAAATGGGGAGAGAATGAAGGAAAAATACGGTGTGTTCTGTTGTGGACACAATGAAGCTGTTAGTCACTATAAAGACCTGCTCCAAAGCAATAAGAAGTTCCAAACCTTAATAAAGGTAAACCACAACCAGAAGTCTCACATTCTGACTGTGCAAAATAGACTTGACCACTTCAGATCTTATTTTGTACTCGAAGATCCCTTCAGTTTGAATGCACCTCATTAGAGGCAGATTCTCTTTAGTTGATAGCTTCTTGTATTTTAGATTTTTTTGTGCTGTTTGGACACACCACCCCCATTAGCAGGTGTGAAATTTGAGGCAGGCTCTAGGGAACACACAGGACTGGGGAAGAGAGTGTGTTTTATTCATAGAATCTCAGACTGGTTTGGGTTGGAAGGGACCTTAAAACTCATCCAGTTCCAACCCCCTGCCCCAGGCAGGGACACCTTCCACTAGAGCAGGTTGCTCCAAGCCCCTGTGTCCACTCTGGCCTCGAACACTGCCAGGGATGGGGCAGCCACAGCTTCTCTGGGCACCCTGTGCCAGCACCTCAGCACCCTCACAGGG